AAATGGGAAAAAGATATCAGCTCGCCATTTGGTGGCCTGAAAACCGGATAAATACCTTCTGCCCGCCCCACCCCCCGCTCCATCACCCGCCCTTACGCACCGCCCCGCGCTCGCCCCCCTACCATCGGCCCCCCCGCAGGGGGGTTTTTCCTCTTTAATTCCCCTTCAATTCCCCCTCACCCCCAAAACTTCCGTCGCGTCCCCGGAACCTTTAAAGGACAACATTTGCGAGCACGCACCCGACGGTGCAAAACTAAACGTCCTCCTGTCCAAGTTGCGGTGCTGCAGTCCCTCCCTTCCAATGGTGGACTCAGCCCCTTTTCAGAGAAATGATGGCTTGTGCCGCGCCGGGGTGAGGTCCCAAGCCTTTTCCTTTCTTCCCCAAAAAGGCAGTGCCAGCCCTGCTTTCACATGAAAAAGACAGGTGGGCCATCTTTGACATGTCGGCTCTCCAAAAGTGAAAGGCAGCCCCGAGGTGGACTTAACTAGGGTCAGGGACAGTACATGTCATTTACGGCCCACGGTAACGGGTCCCGTCACAGCCGCACCAGCAATTTGGGACGGGTCCCCCCCTTTTTTCCCTCCACGTTTGCACGTCCTTGGCCGGAAAAGATGTCCGCCTCACCACCTCTCTTCCGCCGTGTCCCAGCCCCACCCCCGTGCCAAGTCCATTTAAACCCGACCGGGCATTCACATTGCGGGGCCAACGGTGTCACCTGTTCGCCCTGGTATCCCTTTGGGGCAAACGTAGTCACACGGGGGAGAACTTCTAGGGTAATGAACAAAAAAAACGACAGATGGTTTCCCTCCGCCAAACTGAAAATCGGAACCATTTTTGCCCACAAGGGAAAGAACAGGGTTTCCCCTGCTCTGCTAAAGGGAAAGGGTTGTGCCATGCGCCTGCAGGCCACTTTTTCAATCTGGTTGTAAAGCGGTTCTTAAAATCCACCATCCCCTGCAAGACATCCTTAAAATGTCACGTAAACTTGCATGTTTTTCAGCCATTCCTACACCGAAAAGGGACCCCCCTTACTGCGCGGCAAAGGGAATTCCACACACGCCTGATCGCACCGGTTCAAACAAGGTGGAATTCAAACACACATGTTAGACCCCCTTTTACAAAACACAAAAGGGCCCTAAAACAGATTTCCTGTGTTACAAGCGATAAAGAACCCCCGGGTTAACTTGAGTCAGCCTTTGCACTCATGCGTGACCCTCCGTTTTGCTCAGGCCTTTGAGGGGGGCCACCTATTCGTGAGTGGGGCGGGACTAGGGGAAGAACGACGTCATTCCTCTGTTGCACGTCCTTTAACAAAGCTTTTTAACAATGGCTGGTCAGGGTGCGGTGACGTGCCACAATCTCAACGCCACATACCCCGGGGGGGCAGGACAGGAAGAAGAGGAGGAGGTAGAGGAGGACATTTTGCTCAGGAATTTTTGAGTAAATGGGTGGTTTTTTTTCCCCCCACGGACAGAAATGGAGGAGCAGGAGCATCTGGTAGAGGGGGAGGGGGAGGGAAAAGAGGACCCGACGCACCGTGCAGTAGCTTGGAGATGGAGGCAGGAGTCCCCCGCATTCCGGCACAAATGCCATAGCATCTCGGTTTTCTTGCGACGACAGCCGAATAATAACCATCAACAGAGGATACTTTTGGGTGTCCACCTTTTTGACCCCGCTACCGTTCCCAAAAAAGGTGGCCTTTTTCACACCTCTAAGGGAGGCCAAATTACGTACTATAACAAACCACCTATGTAGTCTGATGGTCCGCTTGCTCTTGTGCGCCAACGTATCCTCAGACACTGTGTGCCCTGTGCGCTCGAGTCACGCTGCCCATGGCTGGCAGGGGAGGAGGTGGGGGGGGGGTGGTAGGAGCTCGTTATGTGGATCGCTTTCACAACCCAGCAGGGGTCTGCCTCAGTCTGCACGTCGATGATGTGTAGCTTTCTTCACAGCGCAGTGAGGAACACTACTAACGCAAGCACAGCAAGCAGCAGAGCGCAGCAGCATCAGGTGGACCTGGAGCAGGACCAAACCTCTAAACAAACCAGGCTTAGGGGGACCTCATACTTGGACAGCACCACCGCTGCCAACCGAGGTGTGTCCCCATCCCTTGACTACTCGGGCAATAACGAAAACTTGACCTTTGCCCCTCTAACTAGCTGAATTTTGCCCTTTGAAAGGCTGTTACAATGCCGGCCAGTAGCGGTGGCTTATCGGAGCGCGTGTCGATTTAGTGCGGGGCAAGGAGGTATTGCAAACTAACTCCGCGGAGGACACCGACTGTCCACTATTACCAAAGTGTGGCGAGACGTGAGTTTGTTGAAAAAAATGAATCAGGCGTGGATCTAGTCTGTGGATTTCAAACCACCAGTTTCCTGACACACAACTGACTAAATCTAAATTTCCGCCATGAATCATGCCCCCAAAACATGTAGTCCCACTTTCCCAGGTGCATCCTCCACACTGTGGTGTTGTTGCCATTTTTTGTCATAGGGTGCTGGCAGATTCCGGGCCATAGCTGCTGCAGGCCCCTAATCTGCCATGGCCCTATACCGCTCTCGCTATTGCTGCTGGCAATGTCTCGTCTCATGGGTCCGATGTACGGCTCCATTGCTGCTGTCTCCATCGCCACACTTGCATGTGCTCTTTTCAGCTCACATGCTGTGGTGTTTATAATTTTTTGACATAGGGTGCTGGCAGATTACGGGCCTCCCATAGATGCTGAGCAGGCTCCCATAATCTGCCATGGGCCCTATATACCGCCTCCCTCATGCTGCTGCCAAGTTCCAGAGTTCTTCATGGGTCCCTGTACGGCCATCTCCATTGCTGCTGTCTCCATCGCCACACTCTGCCATGTGCCACATGGTCTTTCAGGTTCTCCTCAAACAATGCTGGTGTGTTCAGATTTTTTGACATAGGGTGCTGGCAGATTACAGAGTACGGGCTCCCATAGGCTGCTGCCAGGCCCTAATTGCCATGGGCCCCTATATACCGCTCACTCGTATGACTGCTGCCAATGTCCAGAGTTCTCTCATGGGTCCCTGTACGGCCTCCCATTGCTGCTGTCTCCATCGCCACACTCTGCCATGTGCCACTTTCAGGTCTCACTCATACTCACTGCTGGTGTGTTTAAATTTTTTGACATAGGGTGTGCAGATTAACGGGCCTCCATAGCTGCTGCCAGGCCCCCTAATCTGCCATAGGCCCCTATATACCGCCTCCTCATGCTGCTGCCAGGTCCAGAGTCTCATGGGTCCCTGTACGGCCTCCCATTGTGTAGAATTTTTTGACATAGGGTGCTGGCAGATTACGGGCCTCCCATAGCTGCTGCCAGGCCCCTAATCTGCCATAGGCCCCTATATATACCGCCTCCTCATGCTGCTGCCAGGTCCAGAGTCTCTCATGGGTCCCTGTACGGCCTCCCATTGCTGCTGTCTCCATCGCCACACTCTGCCATGTGCCACTTTCAGGTCTCCTCACACACTGCTGGTGTGTGTTGAATTTTTTGACATAGGGTGCTGGCAGATTACGGGCCTCCCATAGCTGCTGCCAGGCCCCTAATCTGCCATAGGCCCCTATATACCGCCTCCTCATGCTGCTGCCAGGTCCAGAGTCTCTCATGGGTCCCTGTACGGCCTCCCATTGCTGCTGTCTCCATCGCCACACTCTGCCATGTGCCACTTTCAGGTCTCCTCACACACTGGTGTGTGTAGAATTTTTTGACATAGGGTGCTGGCAGATTACGGGCCTCCCATAGCTGCTGCCAGGCCCCTAATCTGCCATGGGCCCCTATACCGCCTCCTCATGCTGCTGCCAGGTCCAGAGTCTCTCATGGGTCCTGTACGGCCTCCCATTGCTGCTGTCTCCATCGCCACACTCTGCCATGTGCCACTTTCAGGTCTCCTCACACTGCTGGTGTGTTGAATTTTTTGACATAGGGTGCTGGCAGATTACGGGCCTCCCATAGCTGCTGCCAGGCCCCTAATCTGCCATGGGCCCCTATATACCGCCTCCTCATGCTGCTGCCAAGTCCAGAGTCTCTCATGGGTCTGTACGGCTCCCATTGCTGCTGTCTCATCGCCACACTCTGCCATGTGCCACTTTCAGGTCTCCTCACACATGACTGCTGGTGTGTTGAATTTTTTGACATAGGTGCTGGCAGATTACGGGCCTCCTATAGCTGCTGCCAGGCCCCTAATCTGCCATAGGGCCCCTATATACCGCCTCCTCATGCTGCTGCCAGGTCCAGAGTCTCTCATGGGTCCCTGTACGGCCTCCCATTGCTGCTGTCTCCATCGCCACACTCTGCCATGTGCCACTTTCAGGTCTCCTCACACACTGCTGGTGTGTTGAATTTTTTGACATAGGGTGCTGGCAGATTACGGGCCTCCCATTGCTGCTGCCAGGCCCCTAATCTGCCATGGGCCCCCTATACGACCTCCTCATGCTGTGACGTTGCAACAAGGTGGAATTCAACCCTACATATGTTAGACCGCCTTTACGAACAGCAAAGGCCGCCATCACAGATTTCCTGATGTTAAAAGCGGATAAAGGTACTCCCTGTGTAACTTAGATGTCAGCCATTGGCAGCTCATGCGTGACACCTGCGCTTGCTCAGGCCCTTTGAGGAGGCCCGCTATTCGTGAGTCGGCAGGACTATGGGATGAACGACGTCATTCCTCTGTTGCACGTCCTGGAACAAATGCTGTTAACAATGGCTGGTCAGGGTGCGGTAGACGTGGCGCACAGATCTCAACGCCACATGACCCCTGTGGGGGCAGGACAGGAAGAAGAGGAGGAGGTAGAGGAGGACATTGGTGCTCAGGAATTATTGAGTGAAATGGGTGGTTTTTTCACTCAGCGGACAGGAGTGGAGGAAGCAGGAGCATCTGGTAGAGGAGGAGGAGGAGGAGGAGACAGAGGACCCAGACGCACCGTGGCAGTATGCTGTGGAGATGGAGGCAGGGAGTCCCGCATTCCTTGGCTAAGCAAATGGCCCATAGCATGCTCGCCTTGCTTGCGTGTCTCCGACAGCCGAATAATAACCATCAGACAGAGGGATGACTTTTGGCTGTCACCTTGTTGGACCCTCGGGCTACCGTTCCAAAATGGTGGCCTTTTTCACACCTGCTGAGAGGGAGGCCAAAATAACGTACTATAAAAACCACCTATGTAGTCAGATGGTCTCTGCCTGTCTGCGCCAACGTCCATCCTCAGACACTGTGGGCCCTGTGCGCTCGCGTTCCGCTGCCATGGCAGCAGGGGAGGGGTGGGGTGGTAGGAGCAGTACGGCAGCTCCACCAGCAGCGGCCAGCCTCAGTCTGCAGTCGGCCCTTGAGTAGCTTCATCTTCACCAGCGCAGTGAGGAAACTACTATCGCCAGCCGCAGCAGCAGTCAGCAGCAGCATCAGGTGGACCTGGAGCAGGACCTCAAACAACAGGCTTTAGGCCTACTTGGACAGCACCCTGCCAACCGAGGTAGACAATCCCCTTGACTACTGGGCAACGAAACTTGACCTTTGGCCCCCCACTAGCTGAATTTGCCCTTGAAAGGCTGTCATGCCAGGCCAGTAGCGTGCCTGTCGGAGCAGGTCTTAGTGCGGCAGGAGGTATTGCAACTCCGCAGATTAGGACACGACTGTCCAGGCCCCAAAGTGTGGAGAGACTGACGTTTGTGAAAAATGAATCAGGCGTGGATTAGTCTGGATTTCAAACCACCAGTTCCTGACACACAACTGACTAAATCCGCCAAATCATGCCCCAAACATGTGCCACTTTCAGGTCTCCTCACACTGCTGGTGTGTTCCATTTTTTGTCATAGGGTGCTGGCAGATTACGGGCCTCCCATAGCTGCTGCCAGGCCCTAATCTGCCATGGGCCCTATATACCGCCTCCTCATGCTGCTGCCAAGTCCAGAGTCTGTCATGGGTCCCTGTACGGCCTCCCATTGTGCTGTCTCCATCGCCACACTCTGCCATGTGCCACTTTCAGGTCTCCTCACACTGCTGGTGTGTTGAATTTTTTGTCATAGGGTGCTGGCAGATTACGGGCTTCCCATAGCTGCTGCCAGGCCCCTAATCTGCCATGGGCCCCTATATACCGCCTCCTCATGCTGCTGCCAGGTCCAGAGTGTCTCTCATGGGTCCCTGTACGGCCTCCCATTGCTGCTGTCTCCATCGCCACACTCTGCCATGTGCCACTTTCAGGTCTCTCACACTGCTGGTGGGTTCCATTTTTGGTCATAGGGTGCTGGCAGATTACGGGCCTCCCATAGCTGCTGCCAGGCCCCTAATCTGCCATGGGCCCCTATACCGACTCCTCATGCTGCTGCCAGGTCCCGTAATCTGTCTCTCATGGGCCCTGTACTTGTTGGCATATTCCGCTGTTCAGATGCTCTCTTCTCCTGCTACTCCTCTTCACGGATTCCTCAGCAGTCTTTCTTGGAATCCTTTCCAAGAGACTGGTGTTTTCTTGGAGCACGCACATAGGGTGCTGAATGAATGAAGGTCCTCCTGTCCAAGTTGCTGCTGCCAGGCTTGTAATCTGTCATGGCCCCTTTACCGCCTCCTCATGCTGCTGCCCAGGTCCAGAGTGTGTCATGGGCCCCTGTACCGAAATGCTCCCAATTGCTGCCAGGCCGTAATCTGTCATGGGCCCCTGTACGCCTCCCCATGCTGCTGCCAGGTCCAGATTGTGTCATGGGTCCCATGTTACGGCCTCCCATTGTGCTGCTTGCCAGGCCTGTAATCTGCCATGGGCCCCCTACTACCGACTCATGCTGCTGCCAGGCCCGTAATCTGCCATGGGCCCTGTACCGCCTCCTCATGCTGCTGCCAGGTCCAGAGTGTGTCATGGGTCCCTGTACGGCCTCCCATTGCTGCTGTCTCTATCGCCACACTCTGCCATGTGCCACTTTCAGGTCTCCTCACACTGCTGGTGGTTTCCATTTTTGTCATAGGGTGCTGCATGGCCTCCCATTGCTGCGCTGCCTCCACCGCCACACTGTGGCTCCACACTCTGGTTTTGGCCCCGTGACTGGCCAAATGAGTGAAGTGTGCGGTGATTCTAAGATCGACGGCACTCATCTGCATGTCATACTGCCTGACAGTATTATTTCTCTTCCCCAGCAGACTCCAAGGGCATTTAAATTAAAGGTACAGTGTTCAGCACTAATATTAAGTCTCTCTGAAGCCTAGAAACACCCTTTTTTTTAAGTTAAATTCACAGCGAATATATTCGACTCGAATCGAATATTTCTACGAATTCGCCGAATCAGTCGAATCGAATTTTTTGAATACTTCCGGGAAATGCATTTGCCGGGTCTTGGCTGCACTTTCATCACGCTGTCAGAATGTGTGGAAAGTACTGCCGAGAACCAGCAGTTATCAAAGCAGGGGTCGGCCCCGATGATCAGTGCCCACCAGTGCCACCCAACAGTTCCGCCCACCTGTGGCCAGCAGTGCCGCCTCATCAACGCACATCAGTGTTGCTAAATTACCAGTTTACCAAATGTTATAATATAAACAGACTTTTTATTCATTATGAGCTATTTTGTGGTTTATCGAGCAAAAAGTAAAACTCACAGCAGCAAGTCAATACCACCCAAAGAAAGCTCTATTTGTCTGAAAAAACTGATACAAATTTAAGATGGGTACAATGTGGCATGACCGCACAATTGTCATTCAAAGGGTAACAGTGCAGAAAGATGAAAATTGGCCAGGACAGGAAGGGGGTAGGAGTACCCAGTAGGCAAGTGGTTAATATAATTGACCCATCAATACCCAGGAGCTAATGTACAGATAAGTAGCATGTGCACCAAGTGAGATTCTGCTAGGCCCCACCCACAAAATTACAATTACTTGTCCCTCACATGTTATAAACATATTTGCAATGGCCACAGTTACTTTACATATAAGGATCATCTCCTCAGTTGAGAACTGTGCTCTCGCCATGTCCAAATGCCAATAAAGTTATCAAAATTTTCAACCAACACAAAACCTCCAACCACTTCTCATCCACTTACACTCCCCACAACCACTTCCGGGTGCGCGCGCACCAGATGACGGACTTCCAGGAGGATAGCTGCTCGTGCGCCATGGGGGACACCTGTTTGGCGTTTATTTGTGCACGATCGCGCATATCTATGCACGATCGCTCATTTCTATGCACGGCTATGATAGCTTTGCGAATGTGTGTTTTTAGTGATTTTTTTTCTTTTTAAACCTTGGCTAATATATATTTGTTGCCAAAGGCCAAAAATCAACATACAGTGGGGACTATTTTATTACTGTAAATCAAATTGTAGAAAACCTGTAGCTGGCTGCACAGTGAATGTGACATATTCATTAGTACATAACAATATTGTGGTGCAAGCAGGTTTTTTTTTTTTTTTTTTGGTTTTTGAAAAAGCCAGTTTGCACCCACTTGCATATTCACGCTCTTACAAGCTACATTTGAGCAGATTATATAAGTATACAAAGTA